TCTCGATGGTACATGCACAGGGGCACGGCCACTGGCAGCGCAGACTGAACACCAGTTTTGCTGCCATGGAGTGTGGCAGGTGGTGCTCGGTCATGGTCACTTCTCCCCTTTGGTCACCACTGCCCCCATCGGCTTTTGTAAGGGTGAGATGAGATGTCAAGATGAGACCCTTGCCCGGTAGGCTGTGGCAGGTAGGCCGTGGCAGGTAGGCCGTGACAGGTAGGCCATGGCTCTCCTGTGGTGCTATTTTCCGTCCTAAGGCTGCCTGTCCCCACCATGCTCCAAGACTGACTGCAAGCCCCCATGTGCTTGCCTGTCCCTTCCTTCCCTGCTCGCCTAGGTGTAAGGAGAGCACAGTGCTGTAGGCTCCCTCTTTGTCTAAGGAGCCATGGTAACGGGTGTGGGGCAGGAGGGGTGAAAATGATCTGCCCTGCGTCCTGTTACTGCCGCTCACCCTGGAACTTGGGCACATATTTGGAGGAGGGCAAGGCCTAACCCTGAGGAGCAACCCGTGGTGACTTGGGCCCTGACTGGTCCCACCCCCTCCTCCAGCTCTTCCCAGTCTGCCCCAGTTCCTGGGACCTTGTCTCCTGGCAGCAGCACTGCCGAGTGCCCGAGGTGCCCACCTACTGCCATGTTCTCCTCCCCAAATGGTCTTCTGTGCTGACTTCAAGAGATTAATGAACAAGAACAAACCTTATTAAATCTAAGAGGCCAAGTAACTCATCTTGACACATGTCAGTGGGGTGGGCTTACCCCACACTTGGGCTTCCCTGTGGCCCTGCAGGTGGCTTCGTGTTTCCTGAGGTTTTTAGCTGCTCTAGCGTTTCCTTGTGAGCAGAGGGACAGTCTGCGGACTCTGCTCCCCTGCATGTAGAAGCCCGTTACCTATAGTTAACAAAGCAAGCAAAGATAATTCTAGAGCACGGTTATTATAAAGTCCTCACTTTATGATATGTGAGGTTCAGGGTCTGTGATGACTTTGGAAATAAAGAAGGTGAAAACAGTGTTGAACAACGTTGAGGGCAGAAAGGGACTGTCTGCAAAGGGCCATGGAGTTGAGAACAGAAAGGGACTGTCTGCAAAGGGCCATGGAGCTGGGTATCTCCCCTTTATACTGCGCACCAAATGCTGTCTCCTATCTGATGTGCAGTACGTCCCCCAGCCCCCAAAAGTTGGCGAGAGTGTGTGCTACCAAGGTGTTTTCTCCGAGCCACAGACCTTGGATGGAGCAGTGTGGCTGGCAGAGGCCTTTGGCCAGGAGCAGCACTGGTCCACAGCTCAGGAAGGCCTCCACTGCTGGTCTCTGCAGGATCTGCAGAAACTTCAGAGAGATTCAGCCCAGCACGGCAGACCCCTCCCACCTGGAATCTCAGCATGGAGGCCGGAAGCTGAGCACCGCTGTGACCTCCTGGCCTGATAATGAGACAATGGCTTTAAAAATAATAAAAGCGAGATTAAAAAGGTGCATCCCATCCCGAGTACTTGCGTACTGATAGATGTATCTCCATTGAGATTGGCCTGTGAATGAGGAGTGGCTGTGTCATTTTCAAAAAGGACCCAAATCAAAGATTGATTGGCCCCATTTTCTTCCACAGAGCGGCTTTGCCCGTGCATCATTAGTTACTCTATCAGGAACGGCGCGCTGCGTTGTCTCTGGTCTTATTAATCACCTTTTCTTCACGACCGATCGTGAGCGTAGTTGGGTGGAAGCTGGTGCATGCAGCCACCTCCACATTCATCAACTTAAGCTGGTGTTGGTGGAACACTGGGCTGTGGACATCCCCCCAGGGGCGCTTTGTGAATGTGTGCCTCTGACATCAGTGTTAGACATTGGTACTTGGAAAACCCACACCTTGTCTTGTGTTTCAGACAAAGACAGTGTCACCGAACCTGCATTGAGTCGGGCGGCTCTATGCCACGGGAGGGGTCAGCCCAGGGGGCATCTCCCAGTCACAGGCACCCTCTGTGCTCTGTAAGCTCAGGAAACCATATGTCTCCCCAGAAGATCCTGGCTTCTCTGCCCATGGTTTTTTGTTTTGTTTTGTTTTTGTTTTCTCTGATACCCAGCAGCTGGAAGTCACAGACAAGGTGAGGGGGCCGTTGACAGCCTCACTAACCCTTAAAGCATTGAGCAAGTGCAGTTAATGGCCAGGGATTGGTCACAGTCATGCCCAGTCAGGAAGGACCAGGAAATGCCAGTGTTCCCTGGACCTGGGACTCCCGAGCTCAGAGCAGAGCCTGGGTCATTAAATGCAACGGAAACTTCCAGACAAGGCTTTCCTGAGTCTGGCCGACCTGAGTGTGGGGAGCGGGGCTGAGAGAGGCCTCCAGAAGGCAGAAGAGGGTACTCTGTGGGGCTGGAGAGCAACGGGTTCCAAAACTTGGGCTTGTAGATGGTTCCTAAGAAAACTCAAAGTCACCAAGTTGGGCCAAGGTGTAGATGCCCAAGTGGAGGAGTTTGAGAGAAATGGATTCTAAAGTTCTGTTGGCAAAATCTCGCCAAGTCTGTGACTGCCCTCTTGGAAACCGACACTAAATAGCAGCACAAGAAGCATGTGTGGGGTAGAATAGGTGACGTCCCATCGTGTCCCCTGTCGTTGTGTGTGTGTGTGTGTACGTGTGTCCCCATCTTTATTACCTGAGACAAGCCAAGGACACTTAGGGTACCCTGAATATTTGTTGCAAAAAACTAAAATCATTCTAAATGCAACCCAGATGGGATCCTGGGGCTGAAAAGGACAATGGCACCTGGTAACATTGTAACAAAGCCTCACTTAGTTATCATCTGTTGTGGTAATGTTGTAGTTATCATCTGTTGTGGTAATGTTGTAGTTATCATCTGTTGTGGTAATGTTGTAGTTATCATCTGTTGTGGTAATGTTGTAGTTATCATCTGTTGTGGTAATGTTGTAGTTATCATTTGTGGTAATGTTGTAGTTATCAACTGTTGTGGTAATGTTGTAGTTATCATCTGTTGTGGTAATGTTGTAGTTATCATCTGTTGTGGTAATGTTGTAGTTATCATCTGTTGTGGTAATGTTGTAGTTATCATCTGTTGTGGTAATGTTGTAGTTATCTGTTGTGGTAATGTTGTAGTTATCTGTTGTGGTAATGTTGTAGTTATCATCTGTTGTGGTAATGTTGTAGTTATCATCTGTTGTGGTAATAATGTTGTAGTTATCTGTTCTGGTAATGTTGGAGTTATCATCTGTTTTGGTAATGTTGGTGGGCGCCTGTAAGGTGTTAGTGGTGGGGGTGGAGATGTGACCAGAGTAACTCAGAGGGAGCTTGCTTACATGCTCCTACCTAACAGGAAGTTCGTTTCAAATGATAATTGGGAATTTGAAGATGCTTTGGCTTTTAGAAAGGAACACCTTTCCATTCACTTTTGCCTCTCAGTGGCCCTCATCCTAGCCGCCATATTTAAAGCAGCGCAGCCCCAGGGCTGCCCTGCCAGCACTTTCCTCAGTGTCCCCTTTCTTTCTGGCACCTGCCATGATTTACTGACCATGCTGCTGTCCCAGGTCCGTGTCTGTGAGGATGAGGGGACCTGTTTCCCCATCTCTCTGTGAGGATGAGGGGACCTGTTCTCCTGTCTCTCTGTGAGGAGAGGGGACCTGTTTCCCTGTCTGTCTGTGAGGATGAGGGGACCTGTTTCCCTGTCTGTCTGTGAGGATGAGGGGACCTGTTCTCCTGTCTCTCTGTGAGGATGAGGGGACCTGTTCCCGTCTTTCCCTGGTTCCCAGAGCACCACCTGTCACAAAATAGACTGTCAGTAACTCCCAAATATGATTCATGCGTATGAGAGAGAGGGGGAAGGGACATGGATGTGGGGGTGAGGGCCATTGGAAGGGACGTGGACGTGGGGGTAGGGGAGGGTGTGGGAAGGGACATGGGGGTGGGGGTGGAGCCGTGGGAAGGGACGTGGACATGCGGGAGGATGTGGGAAGGGTCGTGGGGGTGGGGACCGTGGGAAGGGACGTGGACAAGGGGGTGGGGTGAGGTGGAGTGGGTTGGGGCGGGGGCAGCCCTGCCTGGTGCCTCCTCTGCCCGCATGCCTGCTGTTTCTAGCACATGCCTAGAGCTGAAGCTGTAGTAGGGAAACCAGGATTCTAGAAGCATCTATGCTCAGTGACTGTGTGTGAATCCAAGCCTAGCGTGTCCATCCCCACTTCACATCAGTCCCAGACTTAAAACTTGTCTTTTCCACTGAATTGTGTGAGATGTAATAACCTCAGCTATAGTTGATGGTTTTAGCTTCTAAGAAAGGATGGCAAAGTGGCGTAAGAAACGCTGGTTGTGTTCGTGACCCTCTGGCCCCCAGAAGCAGCCGTTCATGAAACTGGAAGACTGAAGATAGCCATCAGCTGTGCGATGGTGGCGCACACATTTAATCCCTGCACTCAGGAGGCAGAGACAGGCAGAGCTCTGTGAGTTCAAGTCCAGCCTCGCCTACAGAGTGAGGCAGCTTCAGATAAAGTACCAGGCAAAGGAACCAAAACCCACCAACCAAACAGAAAAATAAAATAAGAAAATATGGCCTTATATCCAGACACTCCCGGGACCTTGGCTATCCTCCCACGTGATGTTGCACGATGAGGAAGTCAGTCCCCCTAAGAGCTCCACAGAGCACACTGGACTCCAGCAAGGATAGGGCCATCACATCCAACATGGCTGCACAAATCACATGACTTGAGTGGAAGGTGACAGGAGCACATCTAATGGGATGTTTTTGTGTCATGGTCTCAAGCCTGCTGTCAGGCGTGTGTCCTAAGCTCCATATGCTTGATGTCTGGTTTCTCCAGTGCTACCCACCTGAAGCATAGAGGCTGACCACAGGCCCCAGTGCCTCCTGGGATTGTGGGGGGAGGGCCTTCCCTCTGGACCTGCTACATGGCAGAACAGACAGGGAATCCTTCAGTCTCGTTAGGAGAATGACGGACAGAGGTGGTTGTCTTGAGGAGGCTATAATGGTATTTCTATCTGGTCTATTGCAGGAACATCAAGAGAGCATTCTGGGAAACACCATGCAGAGTGTGATTGCATTGCTCAACAATCTGGTTGTGTACAAAGGCTCAAACATGCAGCTGCTTTATAAACAGGGTAAGCTGGGACTTGAACCTGGGCCCTCTGGGAGAGTAGTCGGTGCTCTAACCATCTACAGCTATTGGGCCAGCCCCTCAGAGGTAGCTATTAGACTTGGCCTCACAGGTACTCAGATTGTTGGCCACAGTGGCGAGATTTCACTCCCAGGTGATAGAGCTGTTTTGATGCTCAAGTGTTTCTAGTATTCTTTCCCCTCCTAAGAAAAGTATGCATCACCCTCCAGTGAGAAATGTCGGCCAAGGTTGTGTGGCGTGGGAAATAGCCACTACTTCGGTTTCTTACCATGCCAGTACCTTATTCTGTCTGTAGGAGTAGCTTCATCTACTAGCTTGGGCTTTTTCCAGAGTGAGGCAGCTTTAGATAAAGTGCCAGGCAAAGGAACCTACAGAGGACAGAGAGGATCTCAGCTTCAAGCCCCATGAGGAAATGCTCATAAATCAGAATGGGTGGGTTGTGGCCTCCAGCCTGGGTTTTGAGTTTTCTTGCCGCCCAGTCTGCAGGTGGTAAAGGTGACCCAGAAGGAAGAACATGAGTCCAGATGCTCTCCAGGGGCAGGGGGTGTGTGGCCGTCAGTGTCCTGGGGTCCAGATGCCCTGCAGGGGCAGGGGGTGTGTGGCCGTCAGTGTCCTGGGGTCCAGATGCTCTCCAGGGGCAGGGGGTGTGTGGCCGTCAGTGTCCTGGGGTCCAGATGCCCTGCAGGGGCAGGGTGTGTGGCCATCAGTGTCATGGGACCAGGGCCTGGGGTTTGGGAACCATCTGACCCCAATGCCCAGGCAGTGCTGTCACCGGAAGTACTCTGATAGCTAAGAATGAACTTGAGCTCCTGACACCTCCACCTCCCAATCCATGGCCTGGGATTTCATCCGCTGCTGGATTTGAATGCTAATGTGTAACTCAGTGGTTTTGCTGTATTTTTTTCCTTAAACACTTCATTTTTAAATGAAACATTTAGGGGGAGAATTATTATAAAAACAAAGTAGGACTGTTTGCTTATTTGAGAAATATCAGCATTATTAACATTTGGAGCTGACTTTGGGCTTATCCCTGTGCCCTGACATTTCTATAATGGAGCCAAATGCCATCTTGCCTTTCCCAGCAGAGCTGTGAGGGTAATGGATTTACACGGCACAGCGCAGTGCCACCAAAGCAGAAAACAAAAACAAAACAGAGTGCCTCCAAAGAATCATCTAAAGAAATCCTTTGTCTTCAACAGTTTGAGGAGTCTTAGAAATCAAAACACTGATGTTTTACTTTTGGCCAGGTTTATATTAATCTTTCTAAATCAGTGTTCACTCAAGAGACCAGAAAATCACTGTGAGAGTGTTGGTGCCGTAAGAATAAAGAGACCACGCACGTGACGGCCTTCTTATCCTCCTTTAGGAGAGCATTCAAAGCCATGTGGCATGTGCCTGTCACCCCAGCACTCAGGAGGATCAGCTGCGTAGTGAGTTCCAGGCCAGCCTGGGCTATGTGAGACCCTGATTCACAAACAAACTCACCGGACGGGCTAGCAGACCTGTTATCAGGAGACACAATGAGTGCAATTGGGGCACAAACAACCTTTGCCAGGTGGCTTTGGCTGGCTCTAGCCTACAGCAATCCTCCTGCCTCAGCCTCTTTAGTTCTGGGATTTTAGATTGGCCACCAGGCCTGGTTTAGTCTAATTTTTAAAAATTGATTTATTTTTATTATGTGCATCCCATCTGGCTCTGTTGGTACGTGCACATAAGTACAGGTGCCTTCACACGTCAGAGGCACCAACTCCCTGGAGCTGGAGTTAAAGGCGATTGTGAGCTGCCTGGTGTGGGTGCTGGGAGCTGAACTCAGGTTCCCCGAAAGAGCAGAACATGGCTCGAGCCACTGAGCCATTTCCAGGCCCTACTGTAGTAACTGTTATACACGTGTTTAACCCGGTGATGGCAGCTGTAGTTGTTTTCCAACTGGTCTCCAAGGACAGGTAAGGTTATTCCTTGGTGGTTAGTGAAATCTGAGAAAATCCTTTAGTGTTCTAAAACACATTCTCTGGAAGCTTCTAGAAGTCTTCGCTATGCAGATGTATTAAACGTTTAATCACTCAGCCTAGGACAGTTCTCCTCAGACCTGTGCAGAAGCACTCTCTGAGGGAGCAGAGCATCTCCACAGCTGCGTGCAAGCACAGATAGCGTCCAGGCTCACTGGCAGCGAACTGGCGGAGCAGCGAGGGCTGGTGTGAAGACTGCCTGCGTTCACATCTCAGCCCTGCTACCATCACTGTCTACTTAGTGTCTGCCTGTTTCCTCACCTCTGCAATGGGCACAGTGACAACACACCCACCGCCTGGAGGGTTAAGCCGTTTGAGGGGTGTGAAGCACTGCAAAGGGCCGCACATAGAAAACCCAATAGAAGCAATCACTTTTCCATGAACTGGCCAGGCTCCCCAAGGAGCACTCACACCCTCCCTCTGAGAGGGAGCCTGACATTTCCTGGGCCAGCCTTTCTGGAACCCTGTAGGCATGGGAACAGGCTGAAGAGCCATGACGTGGCGCATGTGCCAGGCACTGCATGCAAGGCAGTGCCCATGGGCAGGGTGTTCAAGATCAACTGTGGCTTCTGCCACTCCCCAAACCCATCCCTACCCTGCGTCTCACCCGTTTTCCAGGTGCTCTTTGTTGTGGTCTTAGCCCCTCCTCCTCTCAGGCTGAAGGACTTCCTACTTGGTCTCCATTTCATCCTCAGTCCCTCGGTACTCTGCAGATCTAGGGAGACTAGATGGCAGGAAGAGCCTGCCCAGGGCTTGTGGCACCTGCTGTTCCCTCTGCTCTTCTCTGGGCTGCTTATTTGGTCACTGGAGTGTTTCCAGCGTCTGTCCCAGGCATCACTGTGAAAACCTGTCTAATGGAACGAGGTTGGAAAGAAGGAAGGAGTCAGTTGGGAAGGGGAGGTAGCATTTGGACAATGGTAACCCTTGTCTCTCAGCCAATCCCTCACCTCTAACACTGGTGAGATGTGCAGTCCGCCCACTTGGTGTGTGCACTACCCTCCTCAGCTATGAGCACCTACTATGTGTACGGTGTCGTGCATCTGGAAGCTTGATGACCATCATGATTGCTAACATGTGCCACGCTCCTCTAGTTGACCCTTCTCCCCAAGTGTTATCAGTTTCATTACCCAGCTGGCGGGGATGGTACCTACCCATCCGTGTTTGGGAGCGGTGGCCACATCTCCCCTCCTTTCATTCTGTTTATTTTGAAGTGCCAACAGCAACCTGTCAATCAACAAACTGTGCTCTCTTCTTTTTGATTTGATGGCATTTGAGTGGCTTCCTGCCAGAGTCCAGTTCCTCAGTGTTTGGCCAGGTTCTTTGGGTCCCCAGTGATCTAAAATAGCAAAGTTATTTTGCCAGCCACCCAAAAGTTTTTCAGTAAAGGAAATTTAACAAGCTTCCTCTTTCCTCTTCCATTCTTTTTTTTTTTTTTTTTTTTTTTTTTTTTTGAGACAAGGTCTCATTGTACAGCTCTGGCTGTTCTGGAGCTCACTGAACTCACTGTGTAGATGAGGCTGGCCTTGAACTCAGAGAGATCCACTTGCCTTTGCCTCCTGAGTGCTGAGATCAAAGGGATGTCCCATGGTACCTGGCATGGAATAGATTTTGAAACATGAGAATTGGCAAGGAAAATCCTCAGTAGAATGGGATCACTGGAGGAAGATCCCAGGCAGGTGTGCCTTCGGTGGGTTCCCAGGAGCTACCGAAAGGCCTGTCATTTGAAGCTGTCTTCCCTCAGAGACGGCATGCATCCATGAGTTCAGGAAATGTGAGATGCTCACATGCACATCCGAGAAGACAGCGCATGGTCTGGCGGGTGAAGTCGTGTTGAATCTGGTACCTGCAGCTTTACCCATGAGATGCTCCAGAGTCTCATCCCTCTAGAGATACAGGTGCCACTTCCAAGGCTTTGTTTTGAAAGTCAAATGATAATATATGTAAATTTCCATGCATAATCACTGAAATTAGCATAACTATTTAAAGGGAAGTAGTAAAAGCCAGTGAGCCTGTGAGTTTGATCACGAGGAGGCAGGAAGGGAAGCCTCAGCCGAGTGACTGAAGGAGACAGTCATCTCCAGTCCTCAGGGAGCAGCCAAGGCAGGAGCCCTGTTGAGAAGTGGAAAATGACTCATTTTCCGAGCGAGTGACTGCAGGGGTCTGAACAGAAGGATAGTTCCGTTAGGAGGTGATAGTTGAAGAGGAAGGGCTTCATCAGGCAGGTCTGGGACCATGTGAAAGGCACTGATGGAGGTGAGGCCCAGGCTGCAGAACCATGGGCTCCTTTCTCACTACTGGACTGAGCTTCTGCACAGAGGACTCTGTCTTGATGAGCCGCACTTCCGGTGGATTAGCCCAACAGATGTTCGTTCATTTAACGGGAATTTAGTTAGCACTCCTGCTGCAGGGTTGGCTTTCTGCTTCACTGTATCTGGTGCTGTATGTCATGGGCCATCATTTTCCAGGGTCTTAGACTCCCTTGCACTTGTCAGTGGAAGAGGAAAGAAGGTATCGTTCTATTTCAGCAGAGGAATAAATGTCTGCAAACCATGTGCTTGAAGAGAAACTAATATCCATAATATATAAAGAACATCCTTGACTCAATGATGGGGAAACACATCCCTAATTCACAAATGAGTAGAAGATTTGAATAGATATTTCCTCCAAAGAGGATGCACAAGTAACAAAGCCTCGTGAGTGGCGGCCCAGCATCCACCACCCCTAACATACTGCAGTGTTGTATGTGACTGTCGGGTAATTGATAACAGGGGCGGTGAGGACGCCGGGAGAGGGGAGCCTTGTGCTCAACAGTGGGACGGAAGATGCCACAGGCCCTGGGTGTGGCAGTTAGTGCACCTCCTTGGTATACCTGGTGCCTCCGAAGAATACATTTAAACTCTGCTGAGATCTCAGGGTCTGATTTCTGGATGTTTTACCACATCTGGGAAAAGTAACCATGGGGAAGCGACTCATGCAG